TTGGAACAATTAGAACCCACATCTCAGAAACTCTGTTATCAACAAAACATCTGGGATATCCTCCTCCTCCCCATTCAAGCCCTTTTGAAGCTCCCACTATTGTCTCCAGGGAATTCAGTCATCCTTTCTTTATTGCTAATTCTTATCCTTTATGCCTATGAGCATTTCCTGATGTCTAACTTTTCCTCCTGTTATTTCAGATCGGTCACCCCCTTGGGCAGAGGACACAGTCCGCCCAGGTCTAGGTGCTCATTTTTTCCCCCTCCATATCCTGTCTTTGGACAGTATCCTTCTTTAACCCCTCTGAGCATGTGTGACCCCACAGCACTTCAAAGGTTGCTCCAGTCTCCTGTTTTAGGGCTTCAAGGACACTGGGAACTTGCCTGGAGTCCCTGGACTGTGGGGGCACTGCCACCTCATGGGTGATTGGTGACCCTTGGTCACTGGGAAACAGAAGATGAGGTATTTCTCATGGCTCTTATCAATGCAGGTAGAATCCAGCCCTGCCTGGTTGCTCACAGCTAGGAGTAGTTTCAGGATTTGCCCTAGCATCAGCCGCTCTCCACAGTCCTCCATCTTGGAGCTCTGGAATCATCTCCCCAAATAACTCACCAGCATACTCTCGCTCAGGCTCTGCTTTCTTAGAGAATCCAGCCTAATAGCCCAGTATTGATATGTATTATTTTCTCAGCTCTTAAAGATTAATTTAATATTGTTTAATGTGGGATAAAGTAACTCACTCTTTCACTCCAGGGAGAAAGCTCATCCTCACAAGACATTTAAAAGCTCTTTATAGCCTTATCACTTTTTGTTTTGTTTTTTGAGTGCACATAGGTACTTTATTGGAAGAATCCATGTGTGGTGAGGGAAGCAGGTCTTGGGAAGGAAGGATCAGAATACTGAAGGAGCAGGGGTGTTGAGGGCAGAGGATGAGTTGTTGGGGTTCCATTTGGTAATGTCCTGGGATGCCTTAGAGTGGGAAGACAAGGTATCTTGAGGTATAAGACAATTTTGGTTTTTCTAACACCTGGATCTTCTTAGTCCAGCTGGAGTTCATATCTTCCTGTGGACCACCACTTCCTTGCTTCAGGTATGCTGCTCCCAGACCACTCCAGCCTGGCATGTAACCATACTTTTTACATGAGCTAACAGAGTCCCACTACTTTTAAGCTGGTTTGAGTTTTTGCATCAGGCTACAGTTCTGTACTAGTTTCTTAGGTAGTACCTATTCCTTGTTCAAGAAATCATCAGTGGCTCCAGATTATCCACAGGTTAAACTCTAAACTTAACCTGGCCTGCAGGACTCCAAATTCTTCCTCCATCATTGTGTCCTATTGTTCCTTGATGCAGCCTTCACTGTGTCCACGAGATGGAAAGTGCTCTCACCCAGAAAACTGAGGCCTCTGAACAATGACTTAACATCAGCTTCTCTTTGGTGTCTCCCTGGATTCCCAGAAAAGCTCTACTCTGTTCTGGCCTCTGAGTATTTCTCTGCCTTCTCCATTAGGCTACAGGCACCTTTGGGTGCTTTGTACACTGCATCTGACTCAACCCAACCAGGCACACTGAAGGCATGTGATGCATACTTGGTGTGGGTGTGGCTTGGCCTGCCTGGGCTAGAGCAGGCTTCTTTGGAACTTGCTGCAGATGCTGGGCCTGGTGCCCAGTAGGAGAGAAGGGCTGCTGCCTGGAGAAATCTCCTCTAGGTCCCAAGATGACCCCAGGAGAGAGATCTGTGGATGGATTCCATTGTGTATTCACTTGACTAACCACCAGGAATCTGCACTGATTCTACTTCCCTCTTTTCCCAAGAGACCAGCCCTCCTCAGGCCTGGCTCTGGAAAGGAGTTGGGAAAACTGAACCAGAGACTTGTGAAGCTAGAAGAAAAAGACAGAGACCAAGAGACAAAGTAACAGACACACAAAAGAAGAAACAAAGCAGACCAACAAACAGCCCATAGGAGAGGTTTAAAGATGGCGAACAGGCAGGAGCAGGTTGGGAGTACCTGATTCAGACAGCAACTCAGAGGTCCCTCAACTTTCTACTTGGGCACCCAAACCAGAAACTGGGAGACCATTTTCTTCTGGCTTATCTCTCATCACTCAAGCTCAGCCAGCAGGCAAGACTTGTCCATCCTTTTCCCAAAAATAACTGGAGCATGTCCAGCCCTCTCCATCCTACTACATCTCTTTTCTCTATCCATGCAACATCTTCTGTGAGTTTCCCTGACATATGCACTGCCCTTACCCATTTTGTTAAGTCAGAAAAGAATTTTCTAAACACATACCTGATTGTGTCATTTCCATATTCCCTTTTCCTAAAGCCCTGCTGTGTATCTTGGTTTATGAGGCTTTGCTTTATCTCAGCCCATCCACCATCAGAGCCCTTAACGGCACCACTGCAATCTTTGACCTCGATGCCCAGTATTCCTCACTCAGGGGCAACCTGGCCCTGTCCTCACCATTAGTACACCCACAGCAGTTTTACTCCCATCATACACCCATCCCTTTCTACACTCAGCACGCTGCCAGAGACTGCAAGCCAAGCTGCCTTCACTATTGCATTTCATCTTCCTGTCTACACCTATCCTGATCCCTTGGCATTCCAATTACTGCCTCAGGGCCCTCTGAAGGCCCCTGTCCTTGGCATCCCAATGTTTTTTGAGGCAGTCTCTTGCTTTGTAGTTCATTTTTCTTTAGGTACCGGGGATCGAACTCCGGTCCTTGAGCTTGCGCAGCAGGCGGCGAAACCACTGAGCTAAATCCCCAGCCCCCTTGCTTTGTAGTTCATGCTGGCCCTGAACTCACTATGTAGCCCAGGCTGGCCTAGAACTCGTGCTCTTCCCTCCTCAGCGTCCTGCGTGCTGGGATTCCAGGCGTGCCCCACTATGCCTGGCCCCCATCACTGCCTTCTCACTTTCTTCCCAGGGTCATGGTGTTTCCTGTATTTTCCATTTGCCTTCTTTTTTTTTTTTTTTTTTGAGACAGGGTCTCACTATATAGTTCAGGTTGGCCTTGAACTCTCTATGTATTCCAGACTGGCCTTCTTAAACTCACTGGAGATCCTCCTGCCTCAGCCTCCCAAGTGCTGGGATTACAGGCATGCAGCAGCACACACGGCCCCATTTGCTTTTTAAAAAAATCTTATACACCAGTTTCCTACTTAAGGAATTATATTTAAATAAAAATTAAATTAAAGAAAAAAATCAAATCTGTCCTTGTACAGGTGGTACAAAGACACTGCATGATGGGATTCTATGAAACATGACTTCCACCAACACTTTGATGCTATGCCTGGATCCCCTTGAATCCTCTTTAACTGTTTCTGGGCCTCTCTTCTCTGTGGCTTGGTATATATTGGCCACAAATGACTGTCACCTGTCCTCAGGTCCCTGGGGCCACTTTACTCAAACTATCAGAGAGCTCTAAAGTGCCTGGAGGCTGTAAGGCCCACAGAGACAGCCCTTCGTCATGACTGTGTGTCAGTCCTTTGACTTGTGTGAGAGTGATAGCTCAACTCCTTAATCCTCATTTTGGACAATGTTGAGATTCCCAGTGTCTAGAATATAACTTAGTATACAGAAGGTATTCAATAAATATTTGTTGAGTGAACAAATGTAGCCAGTTGTCAATCCTACCATTTGAAATTTCTAGAGTTTTTGTCATGTTTAGCCCTTTTCTATGCAAGACCAAAAGACATTTATTGGTTTGTTCTGATATGTTTTTAAAAAATATTTAATTATTTGCTCCATCTTGAATGTGCTGTAATAACTAAGGTAGATATACTTTCTCCTTATGGTTAACCAGGTGTCCCAACAATTTTTGAATCTTTCCTTCATTTGTAAAAACCAAGATACTGTGTTATATAATACTCTTTGGTGAATGAAGTATTATTTATAGTGATAGTTAAAATGATTATGTCACTATGTGGAAAAAATGCTAACCTTATCATTTAAAATATTTTTATAGCTATATAAAAATTTAGTCAACCCATGGGCAAGGACAAGGAGAAATGGAGAAAAATAAAAATTGGTTTAAGGATGGGGTAAGGCTAGGGATAATGAAAATTTAAACAGCATATGGAATGGAATAGGACTTAAAGGACAGCAAGCTGTCTTCCTGCTAAGCCTGAGACAAAGACTTTGGTGAAGGTAGGAGATTTTCTGGAGGTGATCTCAGGAAAGTGAGGATGGTGGAGGATTCAGGTAAAGGACAATTGTTACTGGAGGGTCCTGGGGAGTCACTGTTACAGAAAAGGCCAAAGAGGAAAGTCTCCACAGATGAAAATCACTTCCTGTGGCCTCATATACAGTGTTGAGTTCTTTCCTAGGCTTAGTTAAGTGAACAGTTCCTTTGGAAGTACCTCATTCACACACACACACCCTAAGGAATCTAGGCTTTCATCTTGTGATTCCGGGAGTTCAAATGCTCCCTTTACCTAGCAGATGTAGCAGAAACACTGATCGCTGTGGTTATCCAAACAATGTACGAGAATCATATCCCCAGGTCCTCCCGCAAACAGCTATCTCTGGAAGATCCCTCTCTGACCTCTCAGAAGTCGGCACTCTTTTTTTCAAGTGAATTCAGAGAAGTCTGCACTCACCAGGTCCTGGGCCAGCCAGCCACATTCTTATTAATAAATGAGAAGAGCATTCGAGTCCTGAGTACCATCGGGGCCCTAAGTGCACTTGTACTTGTAAAGGTTAGAGAGGTCATGCCCTGGAGCTTGCCTTCCTAACCACAAGTGTATTGCACCTTTTATTGCTGTCACACACGCTATTCTCCGGGTCTCTAGGATGGCCTTAGAAGAACAGCTATTCCTGAGTGAGCACACCTCAAGGGCACCTGGCTCCAGGGCACTCCTTGAACCTCGTGCACAGTGCCAGGATGGCTCTTGTAGTCTTGGATTTGTGGGCAAAACGCCCACCTCTTGCCTAATAACTACCTTTTACAGCAGCTCCCCTGAAGTGCTTTCCCACTTGCCTCAGCCACAGGAGCCCTGGCCCAGCGCTCTGTCCCGCACACAGGAACCCGCGCCGGCTCCACCAAGCATAGCCCGTGAGGTCTTCAGGCTGACCACTAGAGGCGCTACCGAAAGTATTTAAAACTCTGGAGAGGCTCACGGGTCCGCCAGTGGCCAAACGACCTGCCTGCATTCAGCTCCAGGATCCGGTGCATGAAAAGTGAGAAAGACCCTACCGGCCTCGCCTCCTGGAAGCAAACCCCTGGGCTCTGTCTGACCTGACCAGCCTTTCCGAAGTTCCGGCGCAAACCCGCGGGCGGAAACTAAACGCTCTCTGCCAGGCGGTTCGCTCAGCCCGGCCCACTACGTCACACCCCGCAGGCCCTCTCAAGCCTTCTTGATTGATGGAGAACGAGCACAAGCGCTCCCGCCCCCTCCCCCGCGGGCCCTCCGGCGGCACTGCCCCGCCCACTGGCTGTCTGGGCCGAGTTTGGCCTGCAAGTTGGGGCGCTCTAGGGCTCAGACTCTGAGGCTGAGGGGGTGCTTTCCCGTCACGCCCAGGCGCAAGCCGTCGCCCCAAGTCTGACAGTGGCCAGCTTCCCTGCACACCCAGTTCTTGTCCAATGCAGCCGACACAGGCCCCTTCCGCCCCTCAGCCCTCGAAAGGCCCCCAAGCCGCAAGCACCCCCGGAAATGCCTCTTGCCCGGGCTCCCCTCGGTGTCGACAACCCACAAGCCAGGAGCCGGTCCTCGAGGACACGCAGACTCTGGGCCCGAACGCTGACGGGGCCTCCATTGATCCTGGTGTGCAGACCCCCGCGGGCCGGCCCGCCAAGTCCTACCGAGCCTTCCTGGGGCCGGGCCAGGACCGTTCCGGACCTCGCCGCGGGTCGCCTGGGTGTGAGGCTCACGCACGTGGCTCCCCCGTCCCGCGCCAGGACGCCCCTCACTCGCCACCCCCAGGCGTTCCCGCACGTGCGCCACCGACAGCAGCCTCCTCAGACCCCCACGGTCCTGCTTCTGGACCCCACCAGGGCCCCTGCGCCGCACTGAACGCCGCCCCACGGCCCTCGGCCCACCCACCGGCCCCGACCCTCGACCCTCTCACCGCCAGCCCTCAGCACCTCTCCATAGCCTTAGCACTTTGCATATTCAAGGTATGTATATTTTAATTTTAAAAAAGTCTAGATTAATGTCAGGAGCACCTGTGTGCTCATAACACAGAAAAACAAATCCAGACATCTTGTTTCAAGTATTGATCTGAGAAAAACTGACAGCATTGGAAATAAAGCTGAAATCTCTTGTTTTTAGTTTTCAGACCCCAAATCCCCTACATCCAGTTCCAGAATTCACCACTACTGTGAATTTGGCATATTTTCTGTCAGCCTTTTGTTTGTTTACAAAATCCTATTTTGAGGTTGAGCATGGTGGCACACGGCTGTAATCCCAGCAGTTGGGAGGCTGAGCCAGGAGGATTGCCATGAGTTTGAGGCCTGGCTGGGATACATAGTGAGACTCTGCCTCCAAAAAAAATTCCTATTTTGCGTGGCTTAATATTGACACAGTTTACTTCAAGTTAGAGTTGACTTTAAAATTTATGTAAATGGCATCTCATCATCTCACCTTATGTTTTCTCTTTTCATCCTTTTTTGGGGGGGCTACTGGGGATCGAACTCAGGTACTTGTGCTTACGAGGCAGGTGGCGGAACCACTGAGCTAAATCCATGGCCCCCTTACGTTTTCTCTTGAAGCTACATTTTTACTCATTTTGGACAATTAATGCATGTTGGCTGCGAGTCATTTCTCTTGTCTACTGAATGCCATTTATTCACTGATGCTTCATTCTAGACATTTTTTAGATGTTTCCATTTTTCCTCCTGTATTACTGCTATGATGAAGACCACCCTGACCAATCTCCAAATTCATAAACTGGCTTTTCAGGTTAAAAGTCTGAGTCTGCCTATTAGGCCACAATGCCTTGTCTGAAGAGCCAGCAGTTCGTGTGTGGGAAAGGAACAACTTCCCACATCACTGGTTTCAGCAGAGCTCTCAATGATCAGTGATGCTGTGACATCTTGGATGGCAAGACAATAGTGCAGTTAAGGGCAGCATGACTCATACATAAAACTTCTATAGAGGCAAAAATTAATCTATGGGAAAAAACAAGTTTCCCATTAATCTATGAGCTGTTCCTGCTAGAATGTCTCTTTTCCTTGTTACTAGGACGCTGCTTGCATCAGTGCTCTCCACTCCAGTGTTCCCTGAATCATCCCTTGCCCCATCAAGAAGCTGTGTGTTCAATAAATAGTGGCAAGCTCCAGGAGACAGCATCTTAGCCTGATAAGAGCTTTGACTGTCCTGGGCCCCCCATTTATGCGTTAAGATCTTGTCTTGTCTTTTGTTATCCTACCGCCCTATCTTTGGTCAGGTGATTGAAGCTCTGATCAGCCTCCAATACGGCTATCATGAACACATTTTTGCTATGTGCCTTTTGGTGCCCGTGTGCAGCAATTTTTCTCTGAGTATTTTCTTTTTCTAAGGAAAGGACATTTCTAGCTCTCCTAGAAACTACTATTTTGAGTGGCTGGGCTAATTTATTCTTCCACTAGCAAAGCAAGAATTCTTGCTTCTCCACCACCACCTGATGTTTTGAATTCCTTTGAAATATTTTGCCAATATTATGGTAAATCTTAAGGTGTCTTGAATGGAATTTCTTTTGTTTCATTTTGCATTTCCTCAGAGATAAGTGAAGTTGAGTATTCCACTGTTGATCCACAAGTTTTCTTTCTAGGAGATGAAGGTGTCTAACTTTCTAACAAACTGCCTTTGTCTCATTATTTGTGAGAATTCTTCATGCCTTCTTGGGACTTGGATGTTTGTTTGTTGCTTATTTTTTGTAGCACCAAGAATGAAACCCAGGGCCTTGTACATGCTAGAAAAGTGTGCTACCATAAATTGATAGCCCCAGCATTTAAGATCTTCTGATTCTAACTCTAGTTTACTGTAGGTATTGCAAGTCTATCTCCCAATTGTCTGCTATGTCAAGTTTGTCTACCATGCATTCTCTGGTACTAAGTATTTAGGGCTGGGCCCTATCTCTGTGGTATAGCACTCACCTAGTATGCATGAGGACTTGGGTTTGATCCCCAGCACCAAATGTGTTTGTGCGTATGTGCATGTGTATGCACACATGCACACACACACAGAGTACTAGATACTTCAATTTGTCCTCAGTCAAATCTATTACTTTTTAATTACCAATTTATTAATTCTCAGGTAGTAAAACTTTGTTTTAATAAGATAATTAATCTTTTTAGAGAATCATTACTCTATCTGCTTGGTTTATCTGCTTGGTTGATTTATATTTCTCTGGTTTCTTTTCTTCTATGTACTAATCTTTTCTTCTCTTTATTTTGGCATTCTCTGAATTTATATTCCAGCTTTGACTGCCTTATTGACTTTAGTCTGAGAACAAATGCATTTTAATTCACTTTTCTATATCTTCCGAATTTTGAAGCATAGTACTTTTAGTAACATTTAGTTCTAGAAATTTCCCTTCCTAAACCATTGTAAATTTTTTTAAGTTTAAACAAATTAATACATGTATATAATTTTAAAATGAAGACAGAAGTTCTCTCTCATCCTTATGTCCCTTAGGGTTTACGGAAGAGGGCCCCTAAGGAGGCTGAAAGATGGGTTAGGGGTCCTGTGCCAAACAAGGGGAGTTTGGGGCTCTATCCTTTCTGAAGGTTCCATTTTCAAGGCATGTTACCAAGTCTTTAAGAAAGATATTCCTCCATCATAAAAGATATATTATCTCAAGGGGTAGGAAAAGGATTTATAATTACAAGTTTTCTAAAGCAAATGGCCTAAGAAAAGGCAGACTGAGGCCATGGCCAGGTGCTGGCAGGAAGAAGCAATGGAGCTTTCTCAGGCAGGAAACCTGAGGGGACCTAGGCCTGGTCCATCATCCCAGGGGTGTGACCTCGAGCTTTCAGAGACTGTGCCAGTTTTTGGCCAGATCTCTGTGTGAGGGTTGAATTAAAACATTTGGTCTGAGAGCCTGCTATTCTCTGGGCCAAGGTTTGACACCTCCTCAGGATGGGGATTGGTGAGCCCGGCTGGGGTGTGGTCAGGAGGGAGTTGGTATCACAGACAGGTGTGCTGCTGTGTAGCTGGGAGAAGGAGGCTGACATCAAGGGAAAGTCAGACCCAAGACTGGAGCACCCAAGTGACAGCAGAGAAGGCCAGGCCCTCACTGCTCCACACCTACATGCCACTGTTCTCTGCCTTACACTCCCAGTGACATGGCTGTCACTCAGGGCTCTGTATCCCTGGGAAGCTTGCAGAGGCTTCAGGTCACCATCCCTGCCCAAGCTCAGGTCAGTTCAGCCCCTCGGGTACTGTGAGGGGCTTCCCCACCATTGTCTCATGGAATACCCAAGGATAAAGCCTTCATACTCTCATATTCTTAATCTCTGTGTGCACTGCAAAACCCACTTTCATTCTGAGTCCTGTAAAAGCAGAGTTTATTGTAAAACTTGACACCACCTGTACTGGGTCCACACAATGCCCCTGCACACAGTGGCAAAGCCCTTTGAGACCTCCTGTTGGATGTTCTGAGCCCAGGGACAGATGTCCCTGATGGGACACAGGGGCACCAGGTAAGATGGGCGATGCCCACTGACTGCCCGGGCAGCAGAGTTAACTGTTTAGTCATAAAGAGCCAACCAGCATCTCAGTCAGGAAGCTGAGTTTTAAAAAATGTATTTGCTGAACTGATTGAGTATACAGCTATATAAATTATAGAATTCTATTCTGGTGACAATTTCAACTCTTCTGGAGGAGACAACATGTTTTTGTTACTGGTAACAAGAACAGTGTGGCTTTTCATATTGCTGGTTTGGGGTCTTCACCAATAAGAGCTATGTCACACTTCCAGATCAATCCCTGCCAGATGTAACCTGCAACCCCAGCTAATCAAGAGGCCAGTGGAGAAGGACAGAAAACCAAAGGTTGGGTTAGGCAGCTTAGTGGAATCCTGTCTCGAACTTAAAAATAAAAAGAGATATAGTGTAGCTCAGTGGTAGAGCATACCTGTTTTTAATCTCCAGTACCCCCCCACACACACACACACAATCCCTGCAATTATTTTGGGTTTTTACTGTTGGCATATTTGCTTTCTCCTTTTGCTTTTCTTTTCATATTTTCAAAACTTACTATCCTGTACAACATATGTTTTAACCATCTGCATTTTTTTCAGGGAAATTGGCCAAATAACTTGAATGGATGTATAATACACCTTAAAATTTTAACAAGAATACATATTATTCTGCATAAAATATTTCCCTAGGTTATTGATCATACAAAAATGATCCCAGACCTCTCTTGTACATCTATAAATACCTTTCCTGCCAACTTCCCCTGGGAGCCCTGCTACAAACTACTATGGTTTCTGGGTGCACCTGTGTGTGTTTCTGTCACCGTCCTCCAAGTCAGCGGCTTCTGCATGATGTACTAAAAAACACCAGTGTCAGGGAACCACCCAAACATCTGCCAACAGGGGAACGGACAAGCCAACAGCAGTATAATCATACAGCCAACTGCTACTCAGCAATAAAAATGACCAGCTACTGACACACAGAACAACATGGATAAAGCTCAAAACACTGTGCAGCAGGGAAGGCATGAGACACAAGGGTGTGTGTTGCATGGCTCCATGTCAAACTGATGGTTGCCTAGGGCCTAGGCACCTGATGGAGAGGGACTGTGAGGGACACAGGAAACTTGTGATGACAATTGCCATAGTTTCGATAAGTGTGCCCCAGACTCCCTTGTGTTAAGGGCCTGGTCCAGTGCCTGCAGTGCTGTTGGGAGGTGGTGGACCCTTGGAGAGGCAGGACCTAGGTGGGTTTGGAGGCACACACCTGTGGTCCGAGCACTCTGGGAAGCTGAGGCAGGAGGATCTCAAGTTTGAGCCCAGCCTGTACAGCTTAGTGACTTGTTAAGACTTTGTCTCAAAATAAAAAAGCAAAAGGTCTAGGAGTGTAGCTCTGTGTGAAGGCCCAATATCACAATCCCAGTATCACACACACGCACATACACACGCACATACACACACGCGGTGGGGCTGTACAGAAGGCAGGTAGATCACCGGGACAGTTGAAGGGGACACAGAGACGTTAGCTGTTTCCTGTGTTTCTTAGAGGCCACCTCCTCCACACACTCCTATTCTGATGTACTCTGCCACAACAGGGCCAAGGCAGTGAGTTCAAGTGACATGGACTGAAACCTCCAGAACTGTGAGCCAGCATCAACCTTTCCTCCTCTTCAGGTGACGATCTTGGGTATTCTGCAAGAGCAACAGAAAGCTGACTAACATAGTGACATTCTTCATCCTATGAGGGTCATGCTTTCATGTCTGTGTGTTTGCCTCAATGCAACACAATGCTTTGATAAAATTACATGTTACTTATGTAAGTTATACTCCATAATGTTGATGAATAATTAAATGATGATTTTATGAGATGTTGATATATGTTCCACAAAAAAGAGGCTGAGACTGTGAAATAACCTGGGGAAATAACAGGACAGATATTAATTTATGCAGGCTTTCCCAGAACCTCTGCTAATGTGGACTAGGGTAAAGTCACTTCTAATTTTCATTAAAAAGAGAACAGAAGATGCCGGAGATTTAGCTCAGTGTTTTTGCCGCCTGCTGTGCAAGCACAAGGACCCAAGTTCAAGCCCTGGTACCAAAAAAAAAAAACTATTTAAAAAGAGAACAGGAACTGTTCCAGGTAAACACCTGTTCTGAGTATCTTGAGGAACAAATCAATCCAGGGGCTTCTACACCATGGAGCTGTCACAGATCCTGTTGAGAAAGATTCTCTCTACTTGTGATATAAGTAAAAAAAAAAACACAGCGCACAATAACAATGACCAACTAAACATAAATTGAAAATTGAAGTCTACAGGTGAACATATGGCATGACTAGGTATTTTTGACTTGGTAATTTTGGTCTCTTGATTGACAGTCAAAACTCCAAATCCTTTAGCACCCAGTTGTCACGTGCAATTAGAAAGGACTCCTTGAACCTTCTCTATGTGATTTCTCAGCCTGAGATAACCAGCTTTCCCTCTGATTCTGAAATAAAAGCCAGAGAAATGCCACTGTTCAGGAGTCTCTGAATTTAATGAATTAGTACTATTTTAACATGAACATATTCTTTGGGAGAAATCAATGACATTTTCCGGAGGTGTCCTCTTGGGATTTTGCAAAGTGCAATGGGAATGGCCCTTGGGAGGTGCTTGGGAGACCACTGGCAGCTAACAGGAAGTAAAGACTGGACAGGATGACAGATGGGCTGCACTTGCGCTTGGCCTGCCAGATGGGGGAGGTGACACTGGAGCCCGGAGTGCCACTGTTACGTCACCTTGGAACTGAGGCAACCTACCAAAGCAGCTTGTCTAAATTCACACCACTCCAAGTGAATACAGTCTCTGAGAACCATCTGGGCAAAGGATACCTTGATGTGTGCTCTGCTCAAAAACAGTTTCTGTTCTGTTGTGACCCCACTAAAAGTATTCATTAAAACACGCTAGGACAATCCGCATGGGTAGAGCTTGGAAACCTCAAACCCAGAAATAAAATTAAAAATGACTAATGCCTATGTTTGCTTATTGTGCCAGAAACGTCATCCTGGAGTTGGGCAGAAAATCTTCATCTGTAGCACCTTGAAATATTGTATGGAAATATAATTATTTTAAACGTTCCTGCCATTTAAACTTATATAGTCTTTTCAAATAAAGAGATTTCTCCAACAGGACCCAGAATTTCATCTGCTCTCAACATGCTGGTGACACAGAAGTGAGTGTTCGCTGCCTAGATCTGGCTCTGCCCACCCATGGTCCAGACAATGGGATCCACCACATCCAGCAGCCTCTGGATACAGATGTGCTTTAGTGAGGGCAGGAAGAGGCAAGGCTCCCAGAGTGTACACACCCATACAGAGCTCTCCACAATGACACAGCCTGAGAGAATTAGTCCAATAGGGTATTTGCACCTTCCTGCTGCAGTGATCTGTAGTCTTCAAGAAACCCCAGAAGCACTTAGGCCCCAATTCCATACCAATGTGCTCATGTCCTCATAGCCAACTATGGATTCTTATGCACAGAAAACTTCTGCCCAATCCCCATTACAAAGACATTATCAGGACCCCTGTGGTGGTGACGTGGGCAACTTATGTGGGGAGAAAGAGCAGGGCCTACATTAGATAAATAAACGAGTTTCTATCAAGGATGAAGGATGTAAGACAAGTCGTGACCCGTTTCAATCCTTTGCCATCCTTCTAAGAGGTTACACCCAAAATTACTCCAAGCTTCCAAATTCAAAGGAAATCCTGAGAAGATATTTGTCAATGTTACCAATGCCAGATGAGACTCAAACTGCCTGAATGTGTTTTAGTTCTCACTTTCTATCACCACACGGTGGCACCAGGCAAACACCATTTCAGACAGGGTGGCCTTCTGAAGCCTCCTTGGCTCCCTGGCTCCTAGGTGTAAAAGCAGGGGGGTGGCTGCAGCGCTTGAGCTGCTCTTGGTGTGAAGCTGGGTCACAGAGAGCCAGGGCCCGATCTCATTTTACCACCATGATAAGTGGGACAGGAGCAGATGGCACTGGGGCCCTCTCAATGCCTCTGAAAAAGTCCTTGTTTGTAGATGTCTACATTTATGAAGGTCTCCTTTGTGAAAGTCCTCAGAGTGTGCAGGGTAGGAGCAGGGGAAACGAGGAACACCCGTTTTACATTGTACATGGGCAGATGTCATCGACTGGCTTCCTGGCTTTGTTTTTTCTCTTGTGGAACTGTGTGACAAGGGCCCTGAAGCATGGGGAGTTGGGAGGAAGGGGAGGTTGGACAGGAACACCCACAGAGCAGGCAAGTTGCCCAGCAGGTGTCAGGCACCACGGGGCTTATGTACTTCGAGAATCGGATCATTTGTCAAAGCTTTCTCCAAAGCCAAGTTAAAGTCACTGGACCTAAAATCATAGAAAGAAAATATATTGTGTCACAAATCCTCAGCAGGATGCCATAGTCCTCCTTTTGTCATCAGTTCCTGGCTGAGCCACCACCAGAGCTCTTGCTAGTGTGCAGGGGACAGATGGTCCTTCGCAGGCAGTGGCGCTTTTGTCTTTTTTGTCCCAAGTCAGCTGCAGCAAGGCAGGGAGGCCAGGAGGAGAGTTCTTCTGAAACAGTGTTAAGAGTTGCCAACTGTAGAAATTGAGAGGTTCACATTAAAAATAGATTCTGTTTTGCCGCCTGCTGCGCAAGCGCAAGGACCCGAGTTCGATCTCCAGTACCAAAAAAAAAAATAGATTCTGGTTTCTCCAGAAAAGTTAGCAACTGTGTGCCCCTCAGAGTGCAGGAGTTGCCAGGGGATAAGAAAGGAGCAGTGTGCCTGACCCGGCTGCCCTGTGTCCTCCTTCACTTGGGCCCTTCCAGCTCCACACCCGAACTCACTGCACACACGGGGCCTGGGGGAATCCAGAGATACCACATGCTCTGAAGACACAGTGATGTCCCAGTTCTCTGAGCATGGGCCAAGCCCCAGGGTGAGGACTGAGCCCTCCACTGACCGAAGTCCACCTCTTACTCCTCCAGCTCCTCCACGATCCTCTGGGATAAACACAGTGGTTAGCACCTCCTTTTTTTTTTTTTAAATTTACATGTTGCATATTGGAACAATGACAAAAGTGAGCCCAGCCAAGATTCCACTGCTGAGTTCCCAAAGACAAAGGAAAACAAGGGAGGTGGTGAGCAAGACTCCCTGACACAGAGGTTTGGACACCATACTGTCCCAGAGAACAGATATTAACTTCTAGAAAGTTCTCTGATAAATCAATGGGGCATACACACCTGGACCAAAGAATTTATTTACTGACACTGCAGCAGCCAGGCATTCGGAGGGCATTTGGAATAAGAAATGCATACTTTTGAAAGGGTTCAGCATATGTCACCCCCAAATACACCACCCTGTCATAAGAATACTTTGAGCTGAAGGCTATTGAGAAAAAAGCAGAGAAAGGACAAACACTCATGTATCCTATATCTTTCTAAAAGTGAAACACAGCTCCCCTTGTAAAGGGCACCCCACTTCTAACCCCAGGAAGGTGATTACAGAGATGAAATGGCACCAAGAAAGAGTCAACAAACCCATCTTACTGATGAGTTTTGTCTTCCATCTCTTCCATATCTACCTCTCTACAAGGTGTTGCCCCAGGAGCTCAAAGTCCCTGTTCTTTGTCTTATTGCCTTTCCACAAATTAGTTGTTCTTGGTTAGGACACTAGGTAAGCCCAAGTTCTATCCACCACTCTGAGTCACTCATATCTGAGTACTTCCAGGGGCAGGCAGAGCACCTGTTAATAAACTGTTGGCTTTCTTCTTGCTAACCTGTCTTTTGTTGTCTGATTTGCAGGGCCGTGTTCAGGAAACTAAGAGGGAGAGAGGGAAAAGGACAATTGTTCCAAAAGCTGGAGCGGTGTGGCATGGGGCTACTTGGGAGGCTGAGACAGGAGGATTGCTTGAGCCCAGGAGTTTAGGGTCAGCTTGGGCAGTATAGTGGAACTCCATCTGAAAAAAAATTTTTCCTTCCAACAAATTCTTATGAAATATTCCTTTTGGAGTGAGTGTTTTAAATATTTTACTCTTTCAGATTAAGGACATTCCTTATGTGGGAAGTGATACAAATGGTGATCGTGGAGGAAGCATTGGGTCATATTATTTACAGCTTTTTTCATCATGTGAAAGGTTTTAAAAGACCAGTATGGGCTAGGATGCAGCTCAGTGGTAGAGCACTTGCCTCACTTATATCAGCCCCGGGTTCCTTTCCCAGCATGGGGAAGGGGGGTTTGTATTCTCAGTTATTTATATAAAAAGAGAAAGTAGGTGTTAATAGCACTTCATTTATTTAACTGATTCTGTCTTGTCTTTAGTTTAAACTTGTTCTTAAAAAATAACTTTTGCAGAAAAGAGAAATCACAAAGAATTGAAAAGTATTCACTGCCTGGCCCCAAACATACCTCCACATCAGACTGTACAATAGAATCCGCTGAAGTTTCAAATTGAGGTGCTGTTCTGCTGGCATTCCCCTTCAGAGGCTACTTTTTGGAGATCAACTATAGATGTCAAGAGTATCTGGCTTAGAGGGAAAAAAGCACTCCGGTTTCTTCAAGAGCACATCAAAACAAGCTTTTAATAAGCTGCTAAAATCACAGTTTCTTATTCAGACTCAGCAAGACCAAAGACAAATGTGTTACCTGAAAAACATGGAGAAGTATCTGTTTGTCGCAGCCAGGCACGTCTGAGACACAACACAGGAGCACTGTGTGTGCCAGGTAGGGACAGTCACAGAGGTCTGGAGGTCACAATAAACCCTCTGCAACCCAGTGTGAGAGAGGCTCTAACAGGAACCTCGGGCTATGCTTTGCAGTTTCCAGTCTTTCCTTTCCTTTCCTTTTCTTATGATGCATATTTAAGAAGAGAAAATAAGGGACTTAATAACTATTGCGTATGCTGCCTAGAAATCCCCTCAAGACCAAGATCCTCCCTCCCTAAATGCTGGAAATGTCACCTTGAGAACTGCCCTTATCAGGAGGATGTCACTTCACTGAAGGTCGTGTCTCTTCCCTGAGGGGCAGGGCAGCAAAGCCATCCCAGCTCCGAATTCCTCATGGTCCCTGAGGCTGAAAGTGCACCTGCATCACAGCTGACCTTTGCCTCTGCCCAGTCTTGCCACGATGACTCCTCGAAGGATGATGCAAGAGTACTTCCTTGTGGAGGGCGATTTTTTAAAAAATCCATCCCTTGCCTGTTATGATAATATTTGATGTGGCTGACTATGAAACATGCTTAAGTTTTCAACAAAGACACTGAGAAAAGGAAAAATCAGTATCACATGAGGCAACTTTTCCAGAGAAGGCATTTGTCAAATAAATGTAAACATGAGAAAATTCCCAAATCTGATTAGAAGTCCATATCCTTCCAAGTTAGGAGTTTAAGATATGCTCTGAGATTTAGAATATGGACTTCTGTTTTATACGCTTACAATAGAAAAATTGAACAGGAGAATCCAAATGGTAATTAAAATTGCGAGGCATCTATTCAGACATGT